CACAAGCTGAGGGAGGATAGGTTTAGGTTAGATACTAGGAAGAACTACTTCACTGTAAGGGTGGCCAGAGCCTGGAATAGGCTTCCCAGAGAGGTGGTGCTCTCACCTTCCCTGGAGATCTTCAAGAGGAGACTGGATAGGCACATGGCTGGGGTCTTGACCCCTCCCTGCCAGCCCCAGTGCTCCTTCCTGCCCATGGCAGGGGGTCAGACTAGATGATCTGTCTAGGTCCCTTCCGACTCATTAATTCTATGATTCTATGATTCAATCCTAAATCTGCATGAAAATTTTAAGATTAGAAAAAGTAGACTGTTTTTCTAATCTTTCTAGCTACAGAAAACTACCACTTAATGTCAACAGGAGATTACTGGATGCAGAATGAGAGCTGAGAATTATCATAAGGGTCTGAGAGAAGATTTGGAACGTCTTCAGAAGGATAGTTTCAAAATCCTTTAACCAGAAAAGTCTCTCTCAATTTCTGGTCCTTGCCCAGCAATCCGCCTATGTTGACCTGTTTAAACCACAAACCACAGATACCTAAAAAGTAGCACTCTACGTAATAAAAGAGAAACTAGCTCCTCATAATAAAATTTAAAAAAAAAAGCAAAACTAGATGGGATGTCTGTGAATTTAAAACAGATATAGTCTAGCATAAAGTGTCCTCTAATGATCTGTGCATTTCTTTGGACTCTATAAAATCTACAGACAATCTCAAGAAATCATACACAACACCACTAACTTTTCAAGAGTACAAAAGGGCCATATATTACTTCCAGGCAGCAGAAAACTGTTTAGTTTGTTAACCAGATCATGGTTGCAATTTCAAAGGTGCCCAAAGGAGTTAGGCACCTAAATCCCATCGAAAGCCAAAAGAATTTGGGTATCCTATTCCATGGGCTTTTCTGAATATCCCACAATGTAACAACATGATTGGATTCCTGAAAGTCACATTTCTGTCAGCTAACACTGTAATTTTTAAGGTCATCCCACCTGTAGCATACAGCTCCTCCATGGCTCTCCAGGTTTCAGCTCGGACCTCACGACTGCTTTTACCGGGAACTTGGGCATCTGGCCAGTGTACCAAGTAAAGATCTAAAAGGGAAAAGAAATCAGATTTGTTTATATAAATGACAGACCCTCTATGGACTCAAACCACAAAGGTTCAACAAGGTGAGTTACTGGTGTGTGTCATTCCTTAATACTAACAAAAGGATTTCTAATCCACCTGTATCAGAATGCTTGTAACTATTAGTAAATGACCAATAACTGAACTTCCATTCTTTCTTAGTATCATCAGATACTATCTTAGGTCACAATTCTGCAAGCATTTTACTAATTAATATTTGTGGTGGTTTTGATGTGGGTGCACATATGGTTCCCAGTCATGGATATTAGCTTTACATGCTTGGGCCTCTACAAATAAACACATAACAAACGCACAATTGCCTTCTTTGAAATCAAAGAACGTTCACCCATTGACTTATCAGGGGTGGGTGGCAGGGACTGCAGCGTGAGCAGTCCAGAGCAAAAGCTAGATAGAGTAGGACTGAAACCTGGATGTGAGTCAGTCCAAAAGCACTGGAGTTAGGGAATTCAGAGGAAGTAGGCAAGGGGGAAAGCAGGAGTTGGGGCAAGCAGGAACCAGGACAGAAACTGGAGAGAAGGAAAAGGCAAGACTCAGGACATGGACTAAAGCAATGATTCTTAACCTGGATGTTGAGGCACTTTTGAAAATGGTATCTAGGGTCCCTGAGCACCAATGAAAAACCAATACATTTCTATTTAGACCCAAAATCTAGATTTAGGAGTCTGATTTCAGGTACCCAAATTTGAAAACACTGGTCACTGGCTTACAGTATGAATCCAAGACATAAACAGGAAAAAGATGCAACTGAGAGGTGCACCACTCATAACCACACTCTTTGTGTTAAAGCTGTCTCTTTTTGGCCAGATGCTAGCTATCCTTGGTGAAGGAATGAAAAACTGTACTGTTCATAATGAAAGCATTTTTCAAGCTACACCACAACAATCTCTTACACTTATTGTTTGTAACAACAGGACTTCCCTACCTTGTTTTTTTAAAGTTAAACCTAAACACTGAGTGTTGAGGATAGGTAGCAAGTTGAGTTGGTGTACTAGCTTTTTGCACCTAGATGGGTAGGTTCAAATACTAATTTAGAGGGACATGTAAAATAAGTTTGGTGTATTCATCCTGCTCTGTGTGCACAATATGATGAAATTATCAGCGTGTATTCACTGCATAGGGTTTAGCTTATTTCTGAGATGTGCAGCAGAACTGTGCAGAACTGACCAGAAGTGCTTCTGGTCCACTTCTGGGTCTGCTGCCCAGCGTGCTGAGGAGCCCCCGTGCTTCTGTGGGACACTCCATGCGCCCTAGCATCACAGCAATCACGAGCCTCTGCTACCTAGAGATATGTAGAAAAAACATTTAAACTGTCTCTATGTCTGAATCTTTCCGAATTGATTCGGAGGTTTCCGATTTGATTCAGAGAGATTAAAGAGTCCTCTGATTCAATTCAGATTTGGCGATTCGGCCGCCGAATCTCTGCCGAATCAAATCAGGGACTGAAGCTTCGCACAGCTCTACTGCATGTTCATTTTGATCTAAAATTACACATATATTTACAGAGATATAATCAGAGAAAGCAGATGTCACACTACAGGGACACATTACTTGTACAGTTAGAGTAACTTCTTGATTCAACTGAAGAATGGGAAACTACATACTGGCAATTGCTACTATGTTCTCAATTCAGAATCATCAGGAATGGTAAGCAATGCAAAAAACAACTTATGTCAAGAATGCTCAATAAAAACACTAGTTTCAACAGTGTTTTACTAAACTTTACCTGTGCAAAAGCCTGAATATCCAGCTATATAGCACAGTTTGCAAATGTTCATAGAAATAGTTTCTCTGCAGGTTTTCACATACAAAGACGCTTTGTATTTAGCCCCAGAAGTTTCAGTACTCAGAGAAGAATGACTTTTACAGCTTTGAGAACTATAAGACCTCTGGCCTTCTAGATCTCACAAATGTACTGTATTACCATTCCCTGTACTAGTGTCTTAGTTCTTTGAATACTAACATGATTAGTTGCCTTTCATGAACTTTTTATTTTAGAAAGGTTGTGTTTCTAAACACAAAGCCTCTATAATTGTGCTATTGTATTTATTTCAGATGAAACCAAGTGTGAACTCAAGGTAAGTGTAGCTTTTTCACAAATCAGTTGTACTGCAGAATTGCTCAGTTTGCAAATTCTAAACCAAATTCACCCTAATGGGACCTGAACAAGGCTACACTGGTCACTTAAATCCTCTCTGCACATTAGTCATTTTACTCTCAGAGACTGCAATCATTGCAACCTTAAAAGCAAAACACTGAAGGTACCCAGAGGCTGAGAAAGATGCACATGAAGGGTTGTGCATACTGATGTTTCTAGGACATTGAGATATAAACATTACAAAATAGATTGTGGCCATTCATATGTGGGAATTTACAGGACTGTGAAGGAAACAAGACTTTGCACCATTATGTTGCCTTACAGAAATCAGCTATGTAGTAAGCTCTTCCTCTCCCTGGGTAAACTTAATCCCAAATCAGAAGACACAAGTAAAAAAGCAAAATCCTGGCCTCAGTTTAGTCAGTGGCAAAACTTCCACTGACTCCACAAGGATCAGAATCTGACTACAAGAGATTAATTAATTTCCTATGTTCTGCACTAAATATGACCCCTGAGCACATGAACTGCTATGGCAATGCTAATTACTTCAAAGGGATGTTGACTGGTGAGGTCTTGTGCCACAGGCCTCCATCTTCTATGTTTGAGTCAACACAGTTGAGTTGGAAATGTAGATAAGTGCATACTACACCTTTTCACAGACTGCTGGAATTGCCTGTCCAATTTCACTCCATGCAATCTTTTTCATAGTTATACTTCTTGATTCTTATTAGTGAGCATGTGATCATTATCAGTGCCTCTGTAGGAAATATATGTTGCAATAATTTGGGGTCAAAAGGAGCTACGAGTGCGCAACACCTTTTAAAACCAAGTCTTATCATTTCATTTCATGCACACTACATGACTAAGTACAGACAGTCAAAAAGCCTAAAGCTGAATTGAGTTCATCTTTGCAGGTTAGTCTAAGCTGCGAAGATTGAACCAATAAGCAAATGAACAGACATTCATTTCTGATTCAGAAAATGCAGCCACATGACTGCAGTGGCACAAGTCAGAAGCCAGGGGGCACTAGAGCACAGCTCAGGCACATAGCCAGCATGGGCTGTGTGTTCACTTCCTCTTCCTGCTGACTCTGAGGTCTCTGGGAGTTGCAGTCCAGGCTTACAGCAGCAAGACTCTCCAGGGCTCCTCATCACTTCCTCTTTCTACTTCCAGGTGCTTCTGGGATTTGTAGTCCACAGTCGCAGCCAGCGCAGCTCCGTACTCAGGGGAAGGGAAGTTTAACTCCCCACCCTGGCCCCAGACCACAACAGGGGTTTGCCAGAGGGGGAAAGTGAGCCACCCAGTGAGGCCAGTGAGCCAGTTCTCCCTGCTCCAGCTAGGGAGCAGAGGGGCAGGGCCAGCTCTGAGCTCTGGAACAGTGTGACAGCTGAAATTGTCTCTAAGGTGTTTGCTGAATGCTATGAAGATCAGACCAGGTGTTTCTTATCATTTGTTCATGTATTACAAGCTGTTTGTTGCCGCTAAGAGCCTAATTAAAGTTAAAGAGTAATGAGGCCTTGTATGTAGTGAGGCCTAGTAAATTTAGCAAAGCCTTATAGAAGTAGTAGTAAGCTTTGTGGCACAGTTAAAATTAACCTTATCAGAAGAATGCAAAAGCTTGTACTACTATTGGTCAGTCCTAAGGAAAGTTTGCAGTGGAGGAATCTGTATACCTGTAAGTTATCAGCATAGCTCAGAAGTTATAAATTGGCTAGCACATCCGGAAATCATTTAGAAGGGAGATGCAGCTCTGTGAAAGAAGCTACTAATTTGGAGTTAGCTGCTGACCTGGTTTCGGTGGGCCCATGGATCTCGTGGAGTCCAAGGACTGAATACCAGGTTCCTTCCTGGTATCCCTTGGACAGCACTGATTGGGGACGCCTGACTTGGCTGAACTTTGCAGAAGAGAAACTTGTCATACATCAGGCATCAGAGGGAACTGCTGATAAGTTGCCAATGCAAATTATTATTGTCTGTCATTGTAGCCTTATTATTTATGTGTAGTTGTGTGTTTGTTAACCTTTCTTACCTTTCTATCCCCAACCACACTCTCAATCCCGAACCCTCCACTGGTGGCTAGGACAAACAGACATCACAGCCCAGGGCTACAAAATGCTGGGATGCTGGGGGACTCTTATTTAACTTGAACCAGGAAAGGGTCTGGGACAGAAGTTTCATAAACAATTTGACCTAAATCAGTTAAGTCTGATACTACATTAAACCAGGTTTATATCAAACTAGCCATTTTGAAACTGGTTGATGTGTACTGAACTTCTATTCTTACAGGTTTAAACCAGTTTCTGATCACTTAAACTGGTTTATGTGTAACTTCTGTCCCTAGCCTATATGTATATAAATATACACACCCACTACCATATACATACACACACATATAGATACACACAATTTTATTTTCTCCCTTAAAGATTACAAGAATACAAGCTTTACTACTTAAGATAATTTCTCTTGTAGGAAATTAGTTGCAAATAATTCACCAAAAAGAAGCCTCAGTGATCAAAATTATCTGTAAATTGTCAGTAACTGTTTGTTTCATAGTTTCATAGTTGGTAGGGTCAGAAGGGACCTGAGCAGATCATCAAGTCTGACCCCCTGCCATGGGCAGGAAAGAATGCTGGGGTCAAACGACCCTGGCAAGGTGTCTATCTAGCCTCTTTTTAAAGACCCCCAGGGTAGGACCCAGCAGCACTTCCTTTGGAAGTTGGTTCCAGATTCTAGCTGCTCTGACTGTGAAGTAGTGTCTCCTGATATCTAGCCTGAATCTACTCTCCATCAATTTATGGCCATAATTCCTTGTTACTCCCAGTAGTGATTGGGGGAACAGGAACTCTC